GCCTAGTTGTGACGATGTAAATTCGAATCGTGCTTGATCGTCTCGTATGGCTGATTGTAAGCTAAAATGGCAAATATTCGCTCGCATGATTGGCTTCCAATAAAACAGTTCGATCAAACAGATGAGTTTACTAGATGTATGACAGAATTGATCAAAAGCTGCATTTAACACGTCGAGTTGACATATCTGTGAGATGGAAAAACATTGCGGCGTTCTTGAACATTCAGTAATGTTTTCTTTGGTTGTGTTGCGCTTGTTAGGATAAACAATTTTACTATCGAACTTCTGCGCAATCGAGCGCATCGCACGTTCACAAAATAAATTCGTAACAATCGTTTTCGAGCACGAATCTATGCGTACAGTGTATTCTAATCGAGGACAATTGAGTTCATCCGTACTATCAGGACAATTTGCAACTCCATCGCAACGCGTATACGGATTATAACATGGCCAATATTCACAATTGGTTTCATCAGTTTCGTTTGCATGTTCCAATAAATGTTCCGTGGTACCGTCACATAAAAGACCGACTGGTACATATCCTTTGATAATATTCCGTTGAGTTTCATCCATTTCATCTTCTTTGCCTTGACACTCATTCTTTCGATTGTATAAAGCAATAGGCGCTAAACATTTATTCGGTTTCGATGAACAAATAAATCGTTGTGAGTGATTCAATTGGCAACTATCGGCTAGTTCATCTTCATTATAATAACAATCAGTAATACCATCAACGAGCCGATGTTTGGAAATACATTTCAATGAAATAGGACAGTGAAACAGGGATGGATGCGAACAGTTCTGTTCGATCCCTGTGGTCACACAGCGATAAAACAGCTGATCGAGAGTTTTTCGTAGTTGTGTTTCATTGGATAACGACTCGTTCGTAATAACGTTCGTAGGATAACATACCAGTCCATTATCTAAACCAATATCGATAGCATCTCTAGCCAGGTGTAAGCAATCCTGCGGGTAAAAACAAATGAAATCAGGTCGCAGATGACGATAGAAATCCTGAAATGTTCGATTCGGCAAATAGATGAAATGAAATATCGAATGAGTGGTGTACATTTGTATTTTGAAGAGCCGTTCAGCTATGCACGAAATCTTGCAAGAAATGACTGTGTACATGGATTCTGAACTCGTCAATATTTGATTCCAAATGTGCATATTAGACTGCAATGTCGATTCTGTTAGTTGGTTCCAAGATTCGTGGAAAATATTTGTAAAAGTATGATTTCGAGATAATTTCAAGTTTGAGTATCGACCATTGTCACAGCTCATATCAGTTCGACTCTTCGAATGAAAAGGATAGTAATGTCCATCACCGCATTGAAAGGAATGTTGATAACGACTCGTATGTTCTTCGCATTGAAATGTTGGAATTGTGAAGCAGAAGGCACCGAATACAGTTTTCATTTGTTCGATTAGCAGAGTTTCATCTGTCCCATCGAGACAATCTATATGGTTATGTTTATCTCGCACAAATGCTAAGGGAATGCATTGTCCACCATAATGGCATCGATACATATTGTCAGGACATTCATTCGTTTCCATAGTTTGACAATCTTGTTCATCCTCACCGTTGATGCAATCATATTTTCCATCGCAAATCTCACGCCAATCAAGACACATTGATGATAATTTATAGGAACACATCGGCAAAAATGGATAACATGTGCCAAGACTAAAATCTGGCATAGTATCCGTAATTCTGATCCGTGTAAGAAAATTTAATCGAAGAATTTGATCAAACGATAGTGAAACTTCATTGTCGAATTTGTATTGGCAACGGGATCCGAACCAAGGCGGTGAACAATTGTAAAATACATTCGTTTTATCTATCGTGTTGATTGCATATCGTTCAACAAGATCAATAGGTGCTGACCAATTAAGTAACTCTTCCGTTGTTACACCATTTTGACGTAAATCCGCGTATGTCATGCTATTATATGTGTTATTAAATAAGAGTGTTGTGTTTTCTTCGTCGTCTTGCTCGTGTTCAGTCGGTCTTCGACAATACGGTATTAAATGATATGTCGTATCAGTACGAATATCCTCGTATGCTTCGTTATCTGTTAAATGAGCATAGAGACAGTCGAAGCCAAGTTTAGTCGGTAAAACTTGATCAGAATGATAGATAGAGTAGTGCGTATTGGATACTTCGATTAAAATGCTTAATACAAGTAAGTGTAAAACATACATAGTCGATTCGCTTGCTGCTCGTAGAATAAATGTTCCTTTTTTCTTGGGAACAAAGTGCGTTGTGGTATCACTGCGCGTTATTTTTTTTTGCGCCGACTACTGTGCAAGAAAAAATAACTACATAAAACTGTTTTATGCTAATGCTTCTGTTTGATACTGATGTGAAAACACGAACATATGGTAGGCAAAGCTGATGTTAAACATAAAAGGTTCACATCTGAATCATAGATAGACTTTTTTTTATTCCGAACGAATTACCTTTGATATTTTACTTTGCCTGTGTATATATCACTGTCTGGTGTTTATGAAGTTCGTATGACAAATTAGTGTGGGTATCCACATTCACATTAGGTAGACTTTTAGGATGAAACTTTAGAGTATAGTGGCATCTTGAGAGTAGTGCGACACGTAGTTTCCACCTCAATGCATTAGTTTTTATTTTTTTTGTCTGTTCTCTGAGATAAGAATTTTGTTGAAACGACTAAAATTTACTTTTATCTTTCCGTGGCATATGATTCACTCATTCAGAGTGGTTCAACGAGTCGCATCGCTTCAGATTATAGCTGTGTAGTTTTCACATGCAACATCTGTATAACAACGGAATTATCAGTTTGTTAAAGTTTCAGTAGAAGTATGATATTCAGTAGCCTTGCGTATTCTGCGTGATGAAATCATCACTGGCAAACTCAATATACATTAATTGGATAATTACTGAGTAATACTCTTGAGTAGTTGTACAAGACTGTTTTCCGAAATTTCTCAAAGAAATTTATAGAGTCATTAATGGTGACTGGGTGAGAAAATTCTATTCATTTTATTTGAATTTGGTCATGTAAAATAAGGAAGTTCAATCAAAGGGAAAAGTATCACTTCATTGTCATTATTGTTCTTCCAGATTCTTCGACTCCAAGCGGTTTTCCAGTAATAAATGCGTAGAATTTCACAAAAATTCCCATTGTTTGCTTTCTAAACGATGCTGATGTAAAGATATAAATATAAAACGGTAATGCCGTATTGAAATACATCATAAATGACTGTGCCATGTAGTTAATAAACGTTTCAATTTGTTTCCTCTCTTTGGATTTCACCCAGTCATCAGTAATCATTTTGTAGACAAGGAAAATCGAGAATGGTAACGTGCTGAGAACATAAAACAGCACCTCGACTAAAACCATTTTTAGCAAATCTCGGTCACGTTTACGAAGCTTATTCGCTACTGGATGATGCTGTGACACATTCTCGCCTGATGGTGTGATCCGAGCACGCATTTGTTTCAAATTTCTCATTACTAATAAACTGAATAGCATAATTAAAAATGGTGGTAAGGTGCCTGCGAAGATCATGTAATAAATCGTGTAAATTAGTGCATATAAATCATCGAAAATATTGCAGGAGTGGTTTTCCACTGTTCGCACAGCGGCAAAGAAGATCACAGCCAACACCCAAAAGATTCCACCGATAATTACCATACGCTTCGCAACTTTGTATTGACTGAATTGTCGAATAGTCATGTTTAAACTACTCAGAGCAAAACGATCGATACAAGCTAATACTTTATAATGTCTCATCATTTGAAATGATGCATGACGAACGTAAAATTGAAGTTTACAGGAGACAACAGAAACTGTGCTGATGTCAAGATGATCCAACGAAAATATGATTGGAATGATGCCGACATCCAGACACACTAAGTTGCATATTGTCATCCATAGTAAATAGAAGGAACATGGATTGATACGTTGACTTTTTTGAGCGAATACAGCAATTGTTAATAAATTGCCGAGATTACCGAATGCGACATAGGTGCTCATTCCGTAGCGAGTGAGTAATTGTTGAACAATAGTTAAGTATGCTGTTGCAGACATTGATAAAGACTGTTGCGATTAAGAAGACTTATCTTTTTTTTATATCACGATGAAGGTATAATCTTATTCAGTGTGAAATTTTTTCTAGCGGAAAGTCAGTAAGTTGTCATCGCGTATTACGAATGAAATGTTTACGAAATTTGCATCGAGAAAGTTTCATCGAATTGATCGATACGAATTAGAAGAAGGAAATACGTATCGAGAACGAAAAGCTTTTTTCCCTATCATCATTGATCGGCAGAATATGGGTACATTGACATTCGAGTAGTTGATATAGATGAAGAAGGAGAAAGAAGAAAATTAATTTTGACAGATCGCGTCCTTCGCAAATGAAGAAATGATGGAATCATTTTTGGAAAGATTCATTCATTTGAATACAATTTGTTCTTTGTTCAGATGTCAGAATAATCTATTTTCACTTACTTTTCTGAGTACTACTTGCCACCTGAGTATTATAAAGAAAGCTGTCCCAGCAAATCAATGCAGCATGGCTTCATCTGTGAAGAGTTTTCAAAATTACACACAAAACGCTCCTGATACTTGTCTTTCACAGATGAATATTTGATTATCCACATACAAACAATATTCCAAATATTTCATTAACATTCGTCTTATTTGCATTTTCGTGCTTTTAATTTCTTTTTCTTCCTCGACCGTGTAGCCTGCATGCTGGAAAGAAATCTTCTTCATCTGGATACGAATTCTGATAAAATCTGATGGCGTTGAAAAATACTTCACAGGAACTCGATATGCAAACCCAATCAACGATTGCAGTGCTGTAGTATTCACAAGTAATGCTAGTATGAGTGCTGACAGTGAAATAGAAATCCGACAGCACCCGAAAATGAATTATGCTAACGTTGCCAACAAGAATTGATTTCGAACAGCGCAATTTATTATTTCTAAACATGACGCCGTTAATTTCGCATATTCATTCTGGGTTGATCGATATAGTAATTATTTGGCAATACCGCCACATTGTGGTTACTTCGTAATAAAAGACTAAAGTGAACTCAGATCTGGATGTCGGACCAAATCAGGTTGCAGTGATTCATCGGTTTTTGAATGCTATTCTTGTATGGCGCACAGACGATCACTTCAACTTAAAATAAATGTGATTGATAGTCTTGTAAAACATTCAATAATCGAGCTTGGTGCTAGTACAACAATACATATTCTGTTCGACAAGAAAGTGAATTTGTATTCACACACAAATAGATCATAGCAGATTTTATGCGAACTGATCAATTTGCAAAATATAAAATAGTTAAATGAACCAGTTCAACATGAAAATAAACGATAATTCATTGAAATAACTTTAGATGCCTTAACAGTATTAATTATGATCGATAAAGTAGTAAAAAAAAACCAAGCGAAAATAATCACTGATATACTGTGTGATATATTCAATACGATGAGGTTCATGCTGGCCAGTTCAGTTTTTCAGAGATTCTTGAATAAAAAAATAAGAAAAAAAAAGAAAAATATGAGCAGTTTTTATCGAGAATTTTTATCGTGGTATAGCGTATTCTTGTTTTTGTAATGTCATCGTGAACATAGATGCTGATTGCACTGTTGGCGCCGTATAAAGAGGTTCGTCGACACCGAAACACTGTAATTTATCTGCGAATTTTGCATTGCCCCAGCTGTTTAGTATATATTGAATAGCACCTGATCTGGTGATCGAAATAGTTTGTACGTCCGTATTTTTATAGTTGAAATTTTGAGAAGGACAAAATAGCAAACCAGTACCACACGATGGCGTCCATGTTCGATCACTAAATGATACGGTTACCGTACCATTTAATGAATCAATTGCGGCAGCGTAAGTAAGAGATCCGATATAATACGCAACGTATCTATTTTCTAATATGAATGTTGCTTGAATAGTTAAAGAACGAACTGTGCTAGGATGTGGCGCAGTTAAATAGTCAAAATAGTTGCTCAAAACAGGTTGGCATGATACAGTTGGTAATGTTTGACCATTTGACTTATTGATAAATGCGAATATGAACAATTGTAGCACTGCAACAGACCATCTATTTGTTACCATGTTGAAACGAGACCAATGTTGATATCAATGTATAATGATCGAATGGTCGTTCGGTATATATATATATATATCTTCCTCCCGAGTATATCTTTTTTAGCATAAATCAGAAATTTGCGTTTGATAAAATTCAGTTTTCAAGGGCGTAAATGTTTATTACCTACTTTAAACATAAATCATGATAATTATCGAAATACGAATATCATCTAAACGTCATTTTCATTACGTTTTAACGTATGACAACATAGAACAGAATAAGTCATCGAACAATGTGACGCATGTAAACGGTTCATTGCGCATTATGCTCTACTTCGCAGTAGTTAAGAAAAGAATGTACGTGTTCCATGTACTGAAGTATTCACACTGGCAGCATGCAGATTTTGGAAAGAGATGATATTCTTATCTTAAAGCGAAACATCAAACGGTTCCTGGTATATCAAGATAAGAACAAAAGTATATAAGGTTGTCAAAAATAAATATGCAAGAGTCTTAACTCAATAGAGAATGTCAATAGTGTTTTATTATCGTTCTATGTTTGTCAAGGCGTGTTTCTTAAGACAACACGCGCATTTGAAATTATTTTAGAGATGCTTGTTATTTTTCGTACACTTACTTTTGTTGCGTCAATAGTATATGCGGGAACAGAGCAATGTCCTCCATCAAAATCGTCTATTGAAAATGAACTTCATCGTGTTCATATCCCAGGTCTCGCAGCCATAGTTGTCAATGCTACGAATGTTCTCTACAGTGAAGGTTTCGGTTACCATTCGCCTTTATCTACTCAGCATCCAATTGATCCGTCGCGATCGATTTTTGTCATTGCTTCTATTTCGAAGACATTCGTCGCGTTAGCTGCGATGCAATTAGTCGAAAGCGAAGTTCTCAACCTCGATAACGATGTTAATTATTATCTCAAATTTCCTACACGAATAATTCATCCATTGTTTCCAAATGCAACCATTACAATGCGTCATATCCTTTCACACTCGACAGGTCTGGGATCGAATTATGAAGAAGACTTTCAGCACGGCATGCCAGGAGATGATTTCGTAAAAACAAATTTCACCGAAGTAGTTCTCCGATATTTGACAAGCACTGCTAGTTGGCTTTCGAAAGCACCCGGCGATGTTACATATTATTCGAATATCAATGCAGCATGGGCTGCTTTAGTTGTCGAACGGATCTCACATCTATCATTCGAACGATACGTTCGATTGATGATTCTCGATCGATTAGACATTGAATGGACAGAAGCGAGCTACCGTTTGGCAGACTTTGCTTCGAGACGTGAGGATATTGTTGAGCATTTCCTCTACAATACATCTTTGTTAGCTACTTATCAACAAATTATTCCACAATTGAATGTTGTTCAGGTACACGATTTCAAAGAATTAAGTTCATGATGAATTTTATCCCTCCTTTTTGCAGGCAGCAAACTCCTCCGATTGGCTCTATCTACCTCCTTACAGTATCAGTGTCTATCCAGCAGCTATGCTTCGAATGTCAGCTTACTCTCTATCGATCTATCTTCAATCGTTCCTGAATAATTTCACTCCCCGTCTTCTTAAGAAATCCTCAACAGTCGACGAAATGTTGCGCATTGTTCGCCAGGAAGGTCCTGTCGATGAACCTGATGTGCAGTATGCACTCATTTGGAACTGGCGAACTCAGAAGAGTCGACGTCTTGTTGGTCACCGAGGATGGATGCCTGGTATTGCTCATTCAATGATGACGAATGCAGAACGCAGTTTAGGAGTGATCCTGTTGTCTAGCGGCGATATTACTTGGGGAGACGCTTTGGCTCAACAAGTATCATCGACTCTAGTAAATTTGATGGATCAATTGTTTAACTGTTATGCAGAGGTAGCACTTCATTCGTCTACTTGTTTTCAAACTGTCGGTGACTTCCAAATCATGGCGTTCGTTTTTTTACTTTATTTCTTCGCCAAATATTGAGAGTGAGAAAACAGATAAGTGCAACTGAGAATGAAAACATCATAAATACTTGTAAAAACAGTCATGACCTAAAAAATGAGTGAAAGAGTAGGTGGACAAATATCTTACTCATCATGTACATATACAACCGCCCTCTCTTCTCTTCTGACGCAATCAAATGGCAATATTTTTTCGTTATTATCTAACTATCGTGAAATTTTGTTCGTGTTTCATTGAATGAATCACGTCATGACAACTATAAAAACTTGTATTCATAACATTGAGTATAACAACATTTGTTTCCCAGTAATAATACCCAATGAAAGTATGATGAATCATTATCCTTCTAGAAAACATCGATGCGTCTCTATGGATCAACATGATTCACACTTCTAGAAAAATAAGAACAAGTTGGTGCTATTTATATTAGAGTTTATATGATTCATTACTGCATTTCTTTTAAAGATTACACTTCTATTAAAATTTCTATTTTTAGCAGCAATGTTGGCAATTTCCTAGTAGTACTCAATAATTCCATAAAACTATAGCAAAAAAAGCTGACGAATACTTCCTTCATAGTGTTGGATTTTTCCAAATGTCGATTGTGCCACCTATATATGTATATGTTCTACAGTGTTACACAACATTAACATCTACAGTCCGTTGACTACATCGCAAAAAACTATAATAAGAATTATTCCTCATTAAATTTGCTCTTCTTTCTAGATTGCATTTTAGTAAATTCTTATGTCAGTTTCCAAAGTTCTCACCATCCATTATGGCCAGTTGCAAAAGAACCCAGCTCCATTATGTTTCGCAGAACCTAAAGATCCAAGTACGAATATGCTTCACTGGACGGGATGGATCGAGGGACCTCCAGACACGCCGTTTTCCGGTGGTAGATTTCATTTTGTAATTGACTTTTCAGTAGAGTTTCCTTTCAAACCTCCTGCTGTACGATTTACTACGCAAATTTTTCATCCGAATATAAGTACAAGCGGAGAAATCTGCTTGGACATTCTGCACTCTCAGTGGTCACCAGCTTTGACGATCCGCGGTCTTCTGATCTCGGTATGTTCATTGCTGACCGATCCGAATCCAGAACATGGATTGAATAAAGAAGCGTTGAAACTCTTTCGAACAGATCGCCAGACGTACGACCAATTGGCGAAACAATGGACAGAACTATACGCGAAATGAAGGAATAATTAGTAAATGATCGTATTTGACATTTGTAATTTTATTTTTTTATTGTCAATAAAAATCTATTTTTCTGAATATGCGAGTTCATTCGACAAATTAGAGTAATGATCGAGAGTTACAGAAAAGTATAGCGTGACAATCTAACAATCTCTCCCTTATCATATCCTGTAATTAAGGAGAGCACTCATTAAACCAAATTTTATACGATGAAGAATGTTAAAGTCAAACTCCTTTTTCTACGAACAGCAAATTTTCTCGGAAAAAGAACTAACTCGTTACTTTACTGTCTGGCCTTCTTCAACATGACTTCATCCAATAACCGCGTGCTGAACGACATAGCTCGGCTTGAACAAACCGCACTCGTCTTTTTCAAGGTGTGGGGTTTATCCCTGCGTATTTTGGATGGATTGGATCATATACTGAACATTTTTGTTTTCACCCATCGCGCTTTGCTCCTATACTCATGTGCACGCTATTTTCTAACATCAGCAATATTCGGTTGCATCGTTTCTCTATCGAATGCTTCATTACGCATACTTCAAAATCGATTTGTTCAAATATCAATCCCCTGCAGTATGCCAACTTTTGTCGTACATGTTATAAGTTAATTTAATTTAGAGTAACGCCATACTGGTTTATCGTACTTGCTTCACTCGATCGGTGAGTAATCATCTGCAAGATATTATCGATACTTGAGTGCTCCAAAAAGACTTGTTATTTGAAATAACGAGCTTTTCGTTGTAGATTTTGTGCAAGTTCACCATCTATAAAGCTTTGTCAATGGAATAGTCATTACCATTTTTACCTGTTCGTTCAATGATTGGTATTCGAATCAACGACAGCAATCAATTCTGTTATTCAACTTTACGTCTCTATAGCTAATAGCTCAGTAACTGAAAATAATTTATTCGAAAATTAAAGATACATTTACCGCCAATGTCGGCAACTTGATAACTATATCTCGAGTTTATGCTTAGGCTTTTATTTGTTCGCATTACCAAGTCGACTATTTCGACAACATCTCATTTATCTTTTCCGTCGACGTTAATTAATCAATCATATTCTTTCCTACTATGAGAAATTACAAACAATGAACAATATAGTCTATTGCAGTAGAGCGACATCTAGTGTTGCGATCTCTGTTTTGCGTTCTGTGAATCCAGTGCTTCTGTAATTATGACAGTGCAAAATTCTGCTTAGAATTAGCGAGAATAAAAAGCACAATTCTCAAGTCAGCGTGATCACAATATAATAAATCTATTAGAAACATTTATCACTTGATCGAATCTTTCAGCTGACAAAAATGGCTTCGAAGAATATTTTTGGCAAATTATACGAAACGATGCGTTATTTTCATAATGCACACAATGAGCATCTGTTATCGATGCAAGAGCAATGCAAGCGAGCTAAAACAACAGTTGATCTCCATCATTTAGCGTCTGATATTCATTCATTCTGTTACTATCTTCACAATCATCATACAATTGAAGATCAGCATTTGTTTCCTAAACTTGCTGCAAAAATCGATATTTCGCATTTAGAAGCTCACCACGAACAACTTGCTCAGTTATTAAACGAATTCGACAGTTTTTCTCGACGTCTCAAACAACTGAAAACTTCTGAAGATGTTACTCCTATTGTCAACGAAGC